ACTGCATCGCTGCCAGAAGTGGTCGGTGACCGGTTTGCCTGCTGTTTGATGTCCTTCGATGGACTGATTTCCTGCTCCTCTACCGATGGCTTCGCCTGCGCTGTCGCGGAGGTGACTTCTCCTGTCGATTTTCCGGTGCTTGGGCTTTGCACAACTGGTGATGATGGCGGAGTGTCAGAGTACCTTAGTCCGAGTGTCTCACAGTACTGTTTGTAGGTGATTTGGCCGCTTCCTTCGGGATCAAAAAGGCTAATCCACTTAGCGACGAAACTCTCCTTGTAGTGCATACGTCCCATATACTCCTTTAGCTCCTCAATTGTGATAAATCCATCATTGTCTGTGTCAATTGCTTGGAAAGCTTTCTGGAATCCAGCCATTGTAGTAACCACAGACAGCCACCGCCGCCAGATATGTCGGTTTCGGTTCTAAACGTTTGACTGCCACGCTAGCATGCCATCAGCCCAGACAACGTGGCTATCGAACGAGCGAGTCACTGTATCATAAATTTTTGATTGGTCCAGCGACTCTCACTCGGCGAAGGCCTGCTACAGGCAACGCTGATTGGTCCAACAACTCTCAATGTCGTGCTTCGCGTGTCTGTTAGCTGGAGCCGTTTACCCAACGCGTCCTGGCTGTTCTCCAATAAAACCTGCGTAAAATGCGTTCTTGGAAGCCTGAAAATTACTTTTGTATGCCCGATGGCCGCCCGATGGCCGAAAAAAAAACGCACTTTGGTTTTGGCTGCGCCCAAGTGTGAAAAGTTTGCGTTTATTTGCAAGCTCGAGGTTTTGCTCGTCTAAAACGTTAATTTATTTGGTAATTTGAACCAGATAAATAGGTTTCTTCTTCGTCTATTTATTACTTCCTCCTGGAGGCTACGCGCCTCTTTTTCTAGAAGAGGCCACGCTTGCTTCAGCTGTCTGTAAGATTTAATTTTTTAAATTGCATTTCTGTTCTTGGAATGTCGGCATATTCTGGTGTTCATATAAGCTCACTGGATTGAAAATGCACCTAACTTTGCATAAAATAATAGCAAACAACAAATAGTGAACCGATTGCTTGCCCCGTCCGCCTTTGTATCATGACTGAGCTTCAATCGCGTCTTAGCCGAGTTTAAAATAGCAGATACATTTTAAATATCCTAACGAGTTCATTCAACGTGCGTTCACCTAGTGGGTTATGGGATAATTAAGTGGGCCTAAAGCTAGACCCGGTCTCGAGAGGATTGTTTAGTTATCCCAGAGCGTGGTACTTCACGATCTGAAAAAATTTTCGACTTAAGGTCAGCGTGAAATTGATCATATCTAGTTGAAGGAACTGATTGTTGCGCTTCCTTGAATCCTCGGTAAAAAAAATCCGTTCTACGAAAGAAAAAGAAAAATGATTTCTTTCCGGTAAGCCGTAAAAGTAGTCTGGTGTGGTTTTTTGAACTAGCTGGTGTTCATGTCAGACAGACCATCGGGAATGAGCCAACCCCAGGCCCCTAGAATCAACTCCGGGACCTTCTAGTCAAGTGTAACAGCCCAAAGGGAAATGTTAACCAACTCCTGTTGACGTTCTTTCTTGGACTATCCAGCAGACTCCTAGCCTGACCACCTCTTCCACTGCTATCTGACCTTTTTCGTACACTTTTTATTATCTCCCCTTTTTGCGGCATGCATTTTGATTTATGACTGTGAACCGGATATACAATTTAGTCAGGTATTCGGCGCGCCACACGTCCGCTGATCAGCAGTATCCCTTTACTACGAGAAATATGAGTGTGTACAATTAACGCTATCAGTTGTTCTATTTTTAACGCTTAATGTAAAGCAAGATTTTGAGCTTCAGCTAAAAGCTTGTTGGATACTTTTTGTCTTTATTGAATTGCTCCATATGTTCGTGTGGTTATCGATTATTTTAACATTTAACATTCGTTTGTTGTATCCATATTATATGTCATTTTGTTCCTCTAGGAAGGCGCATTCAAAATTTGTTGAATTTCTTTATTTGAATTAATTTTTGATTGCCTACAGTTCAAAGACAATGGAGAGTGAGGCGAACAAAGAAAAAATTTCTGACAGTTCTTTTATTCAAGTTTAAAGGAGCAGTCATCACAACGGAAGCCACCAGAAATACTTTTACTGCTTGTGGGGAAGATTATATTGTCGAAGAAGCAGTTATGAAGTGGTTTGCCCGTTCCAAAGAAAGTGGTTTCGGTTTTGACGGACGCTTCATACTCTTCATGGAAATCAAATGTGTGTTGAACCCCTACTCAAATTTTGATCTTCACATTTCATCAAATATGCAATCTACTGAATATACGCTACATGATATGTCATACGGACCGAAAATGAAATAAAGCTTGACATTTTAGTGAAATACTAATAATGCACGTCAATGTGTTTTTAAAGTATCTTTAGAAACATTGCACTAGTTGGTCTGGACAAAATTTTATCTAGTGCACCCCACATCCCCCTAGTCCTTGGAAAACGGTGGTTATAGGAGATTTGGAATGGGAAAATAGGATAGACGTAGACGTAAGTATGAAATGGAAATTTTTAGTTGAAGTTGTTCCCCGCGGCCACTGGGAGCATGTAACATAAAGGTAGCGCGACGCTTCGCGCCGCGGACTTTACCAATCTAACTCCAGGACGGTAAGTTGAATTAGACAACCTCTTAGCCGCCATTTCAATTTTTTAAAGAATTTCGAGAAACCTGTACTTTTTTATAATCAGGTTTTTCCGCAATACGTTAAACGATAATACAGATTAGGTAAATCTGCAGATATAAATCAACATCATTTCCAAACACAATAAAATAAAAGTGCATAAAGCAGTTATTATGGTATATTCCACTGCCTATCCTAATTCTCCACCCATAAGACCCCTATAAATACCGTTTTCATAGTACAAAATACTGGGACTAGGGCCATCTGAGATGCATTACTTCAACTACTGTTGCCCAGGATCCAGTGGGGATCTGCAGCATCTAAGTAGTGGTGGTGCTTAGGCAAAAAGTTGGAGGCATCTGTGAGAGAGATTTATAGTGTACAGAACCCCCAGCTGCTGTCTCAGACGGTAATGTCCACTGGCAAAGCTAGAGCTAGTGCTGACTCCGTCCAACTAGGCCTGAGAGAGAATGAGACAGTGGTGGCAGCTGCTTAAGTAGGATTGCGGAGCAGGTTGAAATGTTCTCAAATTCGTGCCTGTGGCATTACCGGAGGGATGTCGTGTCTGGTGGTGTAGGCTGTGCCGGCCGATGGTGGGGAGAGGGACATGTTTAAGTGGCGCTTGTGGCAGCCACGAATACCTGGACGCACGTGTGAGGAGGTAGATCAACTGTCTGCAGGTCAGCACGCCTAGAAGTGCTCACTGCGGTAGTGGATGACCTTGAGGCAGCTGGCCTTGAACAAGGACACCGGACAAACCAATTTTGGGCGACGATTTCAGATCTTTACAGTGCTTTAAGCCGTCCAATTCCCGACACAACAATTCGGGAATTGGCCAGAGAGATGGGATTCAGCACATCACCCCTAGCTCGTCATTGAAGGAAAATTTATGATTGACTTACTCTGCGCAGATCAATGGTACACACTGTAGTGATGAAAAATACGATGATAACAAATTGCACCGTTGAAAATTGCAGAAACTTGTGGTAAAACTCGGTATATAATGAAAAGCACGTCTGTTTGATGGGCAGCAAAGGCAGCTTCTAGCCCTTATCCTCCGATTACACAAAAACAAGAAATAAATAACCGCAAATGAACTTGGACCGCAGATGCGCGAACAGATGATCACCGTGACGGACATAAGTAGGTTCATCTTCAGTTAAGCGCGCACGGTTCTCTGTTAGTGACTTGTTTCATAGTGTTGGGAATGAGTCCATTCCCACGATGAGTCATAGCGCAGAAAAACGTCAGAGCAGAGCCGTCACGCCGCGGCAATGAGAGTGCGCGCCGTAGCTATCGATTTTTCGTCATAGCTGATTGGTCAACTGTCGCCGACGCTTCCTCATCAAGCGAACCGAGTGAAAGGCGCGCAGCCATTTGTGCAGTGATTTGCTCTGACCTGTTTGTGCGTTAATCCACTTTCCTCGTGGCCCATTGACTTCTCTTGTTCTCTAGTACGGGGTCTTTGGGACAACAGTCGGGCTAGCTCAGATTTCGTGCTAATTACAAGTGCCGGGCGCGCTTCGTGACACATAATCAAGCTGGCTATGTATATGGCTGGCGAA